CGGCGCTGGTCGTTCGCGAACGAGCAGATCCACAGGCGCCTGCGACTGCCCGCCGCGTCGTCGCCGCCCGCGACCACGCTGCCGTGCAGCCTCGCGGGCTCTGCTTTCCCAGGCGGCTGGTTGCCGCTCGCAAGCTCCAAGAGAGAGCTTCCGGCCCGCCACAGCCCCCGCCCTCCCTGGCAGGCAGTGCCCGTCAGGACCCAGGACTGCCCGAATGTCCCAGTCCCTGGTGTCCTACCTCGGTCGCGCCCGCCCTGCACGTGAATGCTGCCATGCCCCAGTGCTCCGCCGAGTGTCTCGTGGATCGTGCCTACGACAGCACGTCAAGGACATACCTTACTTGCTAAGACGCGATTGACCTCCACCCGAGAACGCGCGGCGTGATTCCCAAAGAGCACCTGCACCCTTGCGGCCTGGCGGCCGCGGCATGCAGTCGTGATTACTCAAAGACGCGGGGCGGGGTCCCGAAGGAACACCGGCACAACTTGCGCCGGCCTGGCAGCCGTGGTACGCAGGGTGTGCGCAAGGCAGGTTGGAAGCTCTCTCCGACCAGTTTGAAAACCCTGTCAGGTGGAGCATGACACACAGGAGGACACACAAGGGGCAGCGCGGCAGGGGCAGCGCAGCGCGGCAGGGGCGGTCCGCACGCGCGCTCGGGCAAGCCGGGGACCGGCAAAGCCAATTGTCCGGCAGCAAGAACGCAAAAGAAGATGGAAGGAGGAAGCAGCCTCGGAGCAGGGGCGGAGTGGCACACGCATACACACATAGCTTCAACTAGCAGGGACAGGTTGCGTGCGAACTGCTCAATGAGCAACCGCACACAAACACTCGAAAGAACGGAAGCTATGTGGGAACAGCTAGGTGGTGCAAGCTCTATGATGGAACATGCATGATGCGAGCCATCTGGTGCGAGCTAAGTGGTGCAAGCCAGTTGGTGAACACTGTGTGAAGCAAGCCATGCAACGCTACAGGTGCGGTGCAAGCTAAGCGCTACAAGCTTGGTGACGCCTCCAATGTATAGTGCAATAGGTTTGGTGCAAGCTACGCGTCGCAAGCGGTGTGGTGCAAGGTGCGAGACGCAAGCTGTGTGACGAAACCTGTGTGGTGCAAACTATGTGGTGTGAACTATACGGTGCACCCTGCGCACGGGGCCCCCACGCTTGGCCATCAACCGGGCACCCGGCGAACCCCCCAGAACACCCAGAGAACCATGCGAAAAAGCTAGGCCGCAGAAGCCCCGTGCCCCTACCTCTGCCGATGGAGGCATTGCAGGGCGGACGGATGGGGACGCGGGCGGATGGAGGCAAGCGGCTGCGCCATATCTGCCCCCCCCCCTCCTCTTCCTCTCCAACCTCGGACAGGGGGGAGGAGGCACTGTTGAGCATCAGAGGCCTGGAGGACTTCAACAGGTCATCGAACGAATGCCCCCAGTAGTGCGACACGAAAGTGTCCGGGGGGCCGTAGTCGAAGAGCGACGCGAACGAGCAGTGCGCGACCGCCGTCTCGGGAGAGATCCAGTACTTCACAGCCTCGTACATGTTGGGCCCCGATTCGACCTCGCCGACTCCAGACACAATGATGAGGCAGATGCAGGATGAATGCGATTTTGGATGGGAGCCAAATCTGGCATCTCTGAGAACTGGCGGGCGCCGCGGCCGTTTGAGAGCGCTCCTGAACGCTCCGAGAGCGTCCCAGAACCCTCCGGAGCGATGTCCTCATCCACTGCCTGCCTGAGACTTGCTATCGCTCGGACGTCCTTTCCTCGTACATGTTCGGCTTCGTGCGAGTTTTTTTTGGGGGGGGGCGAAATGATCCAGGATGCTCCTAGATTGTCCTCGCCGAGGAACGCAGAAGAAGCAAAAACGCCATGCACATTAACTCTTAGCGCTCCGCGCGGATGTCTTGGATCAGCGCTGGAGCCCCCTGGCGCGCTCCGCGCGCCAGGGGCGCCGCCGGGGGCGCCGCCGGGGGGGCCCAGCGCGGATCCAAGATATCCGCGCGGAGCGCCAAGAGTATGTTCGTGGCGATTTTTCTTCTCCGGGAATGAAGGCACACGTCCGAGCGATGCCAAGTATCGGGCGTTGGCAGAACTGGGTTGAGTGGAACCTGGTTTAGTGATTTGTACCGGGGGCGCCCCCCGTCCCATTTCCACTGACCGGAACTGCCGTCACCCGAAAAACACAAATTCCGGCATACCTGGTTTAGTGAATCTGGCCATGATTGAGGAGCCCCAGGGCCCTACCACTAACCGGGTCCCCTTACCCAGGGTCCTGGCTTTACCCGAGAATAGAGGCCGCCTCCAGTGCAGGCGTCCCTCCCCTGGGCTGCCCGCCCTCCCGTCCGCCGGCGCTCTCGGGCGTGCTCCCGCCGGCTCCCCCCTCCCGCCCCGGGAGGAGGCTCACGCCGCCCACGCCCTGCTCTGTAGGAGGCAGCTGCTGGGCGGTTCAGACCACCCCAACCCAACCCGAGGACCCGAATTTCGGGTTGGGGGGAACACACGCCGTTCATTTCTAAGCGTTTCATGTTTGCACACGCCGTTTCTAATTGTGCTCGTTTCTAATGGTTCCTGGCCCCCGAGTGGCCAGGAAGAGGCCCAGGATAGAGCAATTAGAAATGAGAGGATTTTGCCCCCCCCCCCCCCCCCCCCCCCCCAAAATCATCGAATAACTAGAAATGAACAATGCGTGTGGGCTTCATACGTGTTTTTTCCATGTCCCCCGACGCCCCCCCACTGGAAATGGAGAGCAAATGGGGGCCTTCGGGTTGGGTTGGGGGGGCTTTTACGCCGGCGTGGGCCGCGGATCGAGCGGGCTCCAGCGGGATGGCGCGGGATTGAGCAGGATGGACCGGGATCTTATGAGCCGGATTGAGCTGGATTTCGGACCAGGACAAAGTCAGCATCTGACCTCCTCCTCCTCCTCCTCCTCCTCCTCCTCCCCTCCTCCTCCTCATCACTCCCTCTCCTCCCCCCTCCTCTCCTCCTCCTCCCTCCTCCTCCTCCTCCTCCTCCTCCACCTCCATCCTCCTCCTCCCTCCTCCTCCTCCTCCTCCTCCTCCTCCTCCTCCTCCTCCTCCTCCTCCTCCCCCTCCTCGCAACTCGCGCGGCCGTGGCGCTCTCTCGGCCCCCGCCTGGCCGCGCGCCCACCTCGCGCCGCTGGTCCGCGCCTCTGCGGGGCCCCGGGGCCCCAGGCTCGGAGAGCACCGGCCGCGCTCCTGTAGGCACGCTGGGCGGAGCTCCGTGGGGACAGGATCAGTCGGCTTCGCATCGGATCGGACTCCATTCGAACAACAATAATAATTATGATGAGAATAGGACTAATAATAACAGTGAGAAGAATAATGCGAAGAAGAGGGAGAAAAAACAATCACCGGCATAGACATAAACTGTTGGCGTTCCGCGCGGATTTCTTGGATCTGCGCTGGACCCCCCCTCCCTCGCGCGCGGAGCGCGCAAGGGGCGGCGCGGGAGGCGCTGCCGAGGGGGCCCAGCGCAGACTCAGGAAATCCGCGCGGAGCGTGGAGCGCGCCTGGGGCGGCGCAGGAGGCGCTGCCAGGGGGGGCCAGCACGGACCCGATCCCTGGGGGCTGGATCAGTCGGCATCGGATCGAATCGGGCTACATCGGCACGGAACCGAGACCAGATCGGAGCGGCTGCGCCAGGCTGGAAGAGTGCGCCATGCAGGCGTCGGGCCGCCTCGGATCTCCGGAAAACGTCCTCGGCTTTGCGCTTGTGAGGTCCAAAACCCGGATAGCGGAGTGCCAGAGAGCCTTTGGAGGCCTCCTAGATGGGGTCCGAGTAGATGGGGTCGAAGGATCGCGCCGCATCGCCGATACATCGGCGATGCATCGCCGATGCATCAGTGATGAATCGGCGACGTCGGCGTTGCATCGGCGACGCCGGCGCGGAGAAAAGTGGACCCCACATCGAGCCGCATCGGCGATGCATCGGCGATGCGGCGCGATCCTCAGACCCCATCTACCCGGACCCCATCTAGGAGGCCTAGAGAGCCTTTGAAAGGGCTCTGGAAGGAGCCTGGGGAGCCTTCCGGAGAGCTTCCGAAGGAGCGGCCGCGCCGCCTCGCATCTCCGGAAAACGTCCTCGGCTTTTCCTCGCAGTAATGGCGCCTCCGCTGGCCGGGGAGGGCGATCCAGGGCACCCCAGGAACTGAGCCCGACGCAGGAAACCTTCCAGGAGCCATCCTCCTGCTCCTGCTCCTGCTCCTGCTCCTGCTCCTGCTCCTGCTCCTGCTCCTGCTCCTGCTCCTGCTCCTCCTCCTCCTCCTCCTCCTCCTCGTCCTTCTCCTCCTCCTCCTCCTCCTCCTCCTCCTCCGTTTCCACCTACTCATCCTCCTCATCTTCCTCCTGTTCCTCCTCATTCTCATGCTCCTCCTCTTCCTACTCAGCGAAAGCGGCGAAGCGTAGCCCGAACACTGCAGAGAACTCTGCCAGATCGAAGTGGGCCCCCTCGGGGGGGTGAGCCCTCCGCTCCTCCCCCCCGGGCATCCGAGCTCTGGGATTTTTCTTAGTCTGCGGCGTCCTCGGAAGTACGGGGCAACGATAGTGGGGGGGATAGGCATAGGGGGGGAAAACATCGACCTGGAATCGGCGACACATCGCCGACGGATTGGCGACAGACCTCCGATAGTGAATCCGCACCTCCCTGGCCAGGTTGGGGCTATCGGGCCCCCGTCGGCGATCCATGGGCGACTGGGGGTCGATGCATCCCCCCCTATGCCTCTTCCCCCCCAACGTTGCCCCCCTTATCGTGCCCTGCGCAGAGAACTCTGCCAGATCGAAGTCATCCCCCTCGGGGGTGTGGGCCCTCGGCTCCTCGCTCCCAGGTATCCGAGGTCTGGTTATTTTTTTGTGAATCTACCACCAGCGTGGGCTGGGCCCCGCTGGTCGATTTGCCCCCCTTGGATGGGGATTTTGGGCTGCTCTCTTCGGGTCTCGAGGGGCATGCCCCCAACCGAGGTGGTGAGACGGTGGGGCTCGAGATGTGGATGCGATGGGGATGGGGAGAGGGATCGGTTGAACGATACTGGCCTGCGGCGTCCCCGAAAGTCCCGACCGTTTCCCCGCAAGAGGCCGGTTGCGCGTCGTGCGCCGTGCGCTCGGCGGTGCCACGCGGCCCGGCGAGGGCCGAGCACGACGAAACGGCGCCGTGTTTTCTCCTGCTGTTTTTGTTGCAGCACGTTGGACGTCTGGGCCCGCTCTCCTCGCATGGGCATGGCGCACGGCAAGGGGAAACACGGCATCACCACCACCCCCACCAGAGCAGGGAGCCGGGGACTTAGCTGGCCCGACGCGCAAGACGCAACACGCAGCGTGTCGATGCGGAGCTCAACACGTAGACCGAGAGCGTGAAAAAGTCGGTCGGACGCGACGCGTTCGCCCAAATCGTGGGCCAACATGCCACGTGTTGACACGCGCGTCTTGAGCACGGCACGTCTTGCGCATCAAAGCGGGCGCATCGGGGCAGCTATAAGGCCAAGGGGGGGCCTCGGGGGGGGGGGGGGGGCCCTCCCCGCTCGAGGCCTCCCCTGCCCCCGGCTCCGGGAGGCGCCGTGGGCCTCCTCCCCGCGGCCCTCCTCGGGGCGGTCTTGGAATGCTGAGCCTGTGTTCCACCACCACCACCAGAAGTTAGAGGGGGAAGGAGGAGGGCGAGGAGGAGGACGAGAGAGGAGGAGGAGGAGGAGGCGGAGGAGGAGGAGGGGGAGGGGGAGGAGGAGGAGGACCCCCCCCTCCAGCTTATGGTGGTGGTGGTGGTGGAAAACACGCCCATCATGGAACACTCTGGCGCCGCCTCCAGCGGCGCCACATGGGGCCCTCCGTGTCCCGGAGTTGGGAGGCCGAGAGCGCCCTGGGACTACTCGGGGGGCGTGTCGAGGCCGGCTGGAATATGCGGCGTGTGTGTGTGTGTGTGTGTGTGTGTGTTAGAAGGAAAAAGGACTATGCACAGACACCGATTCTGGCCAGGCCCATCCTGAGCCCAGGATCGGTGCATATTTACGCCCTCCTACCTTGGCCAGGAAGGCATATGCACCGATCCTGGGTCAAGGATGGGCCTTGCCAGAATCGGTGCATGTGCATAATTCTCTTCGCCCGAAGTGTGTGCGTATGTGTGTGTGTGTGTGTTGAGGCAAGCCAGGACTGCCTGGGGGAGGGGGCTGTTGGCTGCGCTCCACCCGAAGCCCGTATACCAATGGTGGTGGTGGCTGGTCCACGAGATCCAATATTTCAAACATCGCTGCAACATGCGCAACAGATCACGTCTGCAGCCCTGGACCCTATTTTTCTGCTGCAATTTCTACGCTGTATCGATCCGTGATGGTCCCTGGGCCCAAAGCCCAGCGACAACGCCCGTGCTGAAGAGATTGCAACGCCCCGATATCATGGGGTGGCGGTGGTGATGTTGCCTGTCTGTCCTATCCTTAGGTCGGAGCATGCCCTCCTACAGGCGGGTCTTGGAAGACAAATGGAGAGATAGCAGAGAACACTCGAAGCAATCAAAAACCAAGGAAAGAAACCTCGTCCGCAGACTACTGTTGGACTAAGTTTGGATACTCCTCCTGTAAAGGGGCCTCGCACGGGCGTGAAGGGCCTCTCGGGGGATGAGACGGGGCGCCCGGGCCTGGAAGTGCGAGCGCGTCCTGCCGCGCGACTCGCTCTGGGGCAGCGTGCCCACCGAGTCGTCCTCTGGGCGCAGCCACGTGCGAGCCCAACCCAGCCGCCCATCGCATGGGGAAAACCAAGGCGGAGGCATCGCCCTTGTTTGCGGCCTCGGGAAGCCCTCGCTGGGGCCCCGGGAGCGCCAAGAAGCGACTCATGCAACAACAAGAACTGGCCCTGGAGAACAGGGTCGGGACTTCTGGGAACTCCGTGCCAACAAACATCGAGACATCGGGCGTCTGGGTGCCCCTGCAGGTCAGAATCCTCAAACGCCAGCGAAGACTCAGAGTCTGTCCTTGAGATCCTACCGTCGTTTTTGTTTCACAACGGGCGTTTTCGCCTGGTTTCTGGCCCCAGGACCCTCGCAGGTCGATCTGGCTCGAAAAATGCCGCGCAGAAAGATTCGGTCCAGGGCTCCCGTCGCGATTTGTCGCAATGTTTTTTGTGTGGTAGGGCGAGTTGTTGGGGGGAGCCTGGTGGAGTGTTCCGGTTGCCCCGATTCCTGGAGGAATTGGGCAGAGACCGAGCGTCCCGGCATCCCTATAGGCCTACCACGACATGTTTTTTGAACCCAACGTGAATCGAATAACACACATGATTAAAACAAAACGATGTCTTAAAACGAATCAGTCCCAGCCAGAACTATTCGAAGAACATGTGACGCAGACCGCAAAAGGTTATCAGAGAACATTATTGGGCGGGCTTATGGGGAAGCCAGGGCGCTTCGCCGCTGATTGAAGGAAGCGGCGTTTCTTCCAAGACATGGCGACCCCCCCCTGGTGGCGACCCCCCGTGGCATGCTCTGGCTCCTGTATCAATCCGAATCCT